ACTACAAGTTTTAAGAAAATTAATTAAAACTGGATGGCCAGATGAAAAATGTATGGTTCCAGAACTGGCAAAACCATATTTTAACTTTCAGAGAAGAACTATCAGAAGCAAATGGATTAATATTTAAAATTCCTGTGTTTTGTACCAAGAAGTTACGAAAAGATATGTTAAGCAGAATTCATTATGGTTATTTAGGAGTAGTAAAATGCAAGATCAAAGCAAGAGAAATATTATATTGGCCAGGAATGTCGAAAGAAATTGAAGATTTGGTACTGAATTGTCCAACATGTTTAAGTTTACAAAAAGCTAATACTAAAGAACCAATGATATCTAAAGAAATACCTAATGGTCCATGGGAAGTATTGGGAACAGATCTCTTTTACTTTCAAAGAAAGGATTATCTAATAGTTATAGATTATTTTAGCAAATATATGTTGAAATTGGACATTTGGAAGATTTGTCAAGTGTAGCAGTGATAAAGCAATTGAAATCAATTTTTGCAAGCCATGGTATTCCGAAAATAGTATATTCGGATAATGGTCCACAATATAATTGCAGAAAATTTAAAGACTTTGCAAGAAGATGGAATTTTGAAACCAGAACTTCAAGTCCAAATTACCCACAATCTAATGGAATGGTTGAAAGACATATTCAAACTGTCAAGCGAATGTTTGCTGTAGTTGACAACAAGGATCCATATTCAGTATTACTGGAATATCGTAATTCTATTTCAAATGAAATTAAGTCACCTTCAGAATTGATTTTTGGAAGAAAAGTGAATGGATTGATGCCTATAAAAGAGAATTTCGTCAAAGCTAAACGATATGAAGACCATAAACAACATTTACTGAAGAGGCAAACCGTACAAAAAGTTATTATGATAGGAATGCAAGACCGTTAAAACCACTGAAAATAGGAGATTATGTTTACATAAAAGAGAAAGGGAAAAAACTAAATGAAAGAGGGAAAATTATAGAAAAAGCAGAAAGACCACGTTCATATAGGATTATAAGAACAGATGGAAGAACTGTAGAAAGGAACAGAAGAGACCTTCTTAAAGGAACTAATCAGAAAGAGTTTGGAATACAAAACAACTATGAGAATGAAGTTATAGATGAACCCGAGATGCCTGAGAATAGCAGGAGCACTACAAATTTAGATGTGCCTTAAGTCCTTCAAAACCTAACAGAAGTGTTGTGTCACCAAATAGTGAAAGAGGTATAGAGGTTTCATCAAATTTTTCAAATGGACATAACTAAGTTACTCGATATGGTAGGACTGTTAAGAAACCTTATTATTTAAAAGAATATGTTTAATTTTACTATTATTATTTTTGATAAAAAAAAGGGAGATGTTATATATGTAACTGTAACTGTCTCTGTTATTATCTTTAATCATAACTGTAATATAGAATACTAGGATGAGCAATGTAGAATAAACGATGTTTGTGTACATCTTGGTAATCATCACCGAGCACATACCCAACATATATAAAAAACAACACAGTGCCTAGGGTATTTTTACACTGAAGCGCATTCAGCTTAACTTTTTGATTCTGCAAAGACATACCATTGGACATACCATTGTTTTTAAACGAATCTGTTATAACTCTTGTAGGGGAAAAAAAAAAAAAATTATTGCTTTAGGCAAGTTTTATATACCGTACGGGCATTTTCATCATATTGGTTTTCTGTTTTAAAGAGATCAAGATCTTAAAAATTCAGATTTTACGCAGACGTGTTGCTTAATGTCTAGGATCTTTTAGATACTCAAATTGATTTTGCAGATTTCTTTGAATTATTTGGTTTTGGAAAATTTAATAGAACTGCTCTCAGTTTAATTTCGAAATTCCAGAATTCATACTCTGAGATAAATCGTTATTTTTATTTCGGAATAAATAAACATACTTCATTCACAACAAATTTTGTGAAATATTAAAGAGTTAGATTAATTTTACTATTATTTAAAGTTCATTGATAAATTTTAAAACGAGTGCAGCAGTTAAAGCATCAGTTTAAAGATTCTTAATATGAGTTATTCTTATACGAGTCATTTATATTATTTAATATTGTCCATATGTGCTTTTGCCTGTGATGAGTGATAGAGAAGTGATAAGAAATGCTCAGAACGAGATAATGCAAAACAATTAGGTAATCAGGTTGTGAGCATAAATTTTTACTTTTTAGGGATTTGTATTTATTTTAAATAACCAATTTAATTTCATTTAATATTCTTTCCTATAAGCCTTCATTGCCCTAATTGTCAATGCCAGAATATTTAAATTTGGTAGCGCCCCTGAAGTAATGCAAATTCTACCTTGATAAGAAACAGTTTAAATACCGAGTTCTAGAAGGAAAGTGAGAGAGTTTTAAGCATTCGCCATCACCTCTGTAGCTTGAGCTTCTATCTCTGCATCTATTTCAGGTTTACGTGGCATAACCGCTTTTACTTTGCTGCCACTAGTTTTCGATGAAGTTTTAAATAATAGGAGTTTTCTGAACTCTGTAGCTTAATTTCTACTACTTGTTAATATTTTCGAATTTTTAGTTTAGTTCTTGTTATTTCAGTTACCGCCCGAGTGAGGCGTGTGCTAACGTCAAGTTGGCGCATTGTGAATTTTAAAGAGTTTAATAAAGGGTACTTTTAACCCTTCTCCTGTGTAGTTCCTAAACGAACTTACTATACGTACATTTATCACTTAAAATATAAGCAAGTAGTTCTTACAACTTTCAGATTTTTTTTTTTTTTTTTTGCTTTAGTCTAGTTGAAACTTCTGAAGTGCGAAACAATTTAAAACTAACCTTATCACCTAACGGTTAATAACAAACGCTACCTCACTACTTTAGAAAATCTTCTTTTGAAAATGTTGAAATGTTAATATAATACACACTTTTAAATTCAACATTAACCAGATTAGCCCATTCCTGGAGCAAAATAAAATGTTGACTTCTTGTTATACAAAATTTTAAAAATTGAGATGACCTGCTTTAGTAGTAAGATTGTAATTAATTATTAACTACGGTATGCTGAGTTTAAAGCTGGGTCGGAACTGCTGTATCTGACTTCTTGAAACAACATATCAAGCTCAGCCGCTAACTTTCATATACTACGCTTCTAATTTCCGCAGGAAAACTTACTCAGGCAACACAGCATGAGATCAGATCTGTAGAACTTGGTCTAACGAAGTGAATCGTATACTTGCCTACCGGGCGATATATTTGGCAGCATGTCTTGATTATGGTAATTAAGTGTATGTAAAAAATAATAGTTAATGGTGTGTAGAATATGGTAGTTAACTGTGTAAAGGAAGGAGTTAAAAATAAAATAACTGTGTAAAACACAGTTAAAATAACTGTTAAATAACACAGTTAATAGTTAAACAAAGGAAGGAGTAAATTTAAGTATAAAAAAAAATAATAAATTAAAAATTTTCATTTTATTAATTTGCTTAAATATTTTTTTTCTATGAGTCAAATTATTTGATACTTTTTTCTCTTTATTAAGATGGTCTTGATTTCTTTTCTTTACCTATTGAATTCTTTGTATCTGTTCAAGTTTTTTCCTTCCAAATTCGGTTTTTGTATCTTTGAACATTCCTCTTTTAAAACTGTAACAAATCTATTTTTAATATAAGTATCTAACAATCAGTATATCTATCTATATATATATCTGAACTGAAAAAAATATAATAATAAATTTAACTTACGAACAGGCAGGTTGACATCGCTGCGAGCAGTTTTTATGATAATAAGACAACAAATCTCTTTCATTTCCTATACAAGCAAAAGAAAAGAGACTGCTAGAAATTACTTCTGATATTCTAATATATATTAGAAATTACTTCTACTAAATCATCAATGACTGTGTAGGGTTTATATTTATTTTAACTAACATTTATTTTAAGTTAAAGCATCTTCCTGTCAATCCTTTACTTTCCCCTAGAATTGCCAAGGCCAGAGTATGTATATTGTAGTAAACGCGCAGAGATAAATTGCAGAAGTAATTGAGTTAAATAAGGGAAACGAGATGTAAGTGTGCTTCTTGAATCGTGAGCGCGAAGTTGCCGGTAGAAATTAAAAAACCGCGCGTTTCCCTTTGCCTATTGTCGGCATTCGTTGAATCTTCAACTTCTTAATCTAAGTTTGCTGAATCTCAGCTGTATCTTAGAACGCGTTAAGTTAGTACGATTATAGAGCCTCGTAGGTAGTGATCTCGTTATTTATGCATCTGTCATTATTTTAGTTGCACTTTTCTATTTTGTTAAACCGACGGTTGCGTAGTTTGTGAGCGTCAAGTGAACGCGCTGTGATTTCTAAAGTGGAATAAATAGGGATTTAAACCCTTCTTACGAGTTTGTGTAATTTACAGTTCATAGCAGTCACTACTACCGTTGCTGACAAGTTGGGGCCTCGCAACATTATAACTGAACGGCTCGAAAATGCTTCAGATTCGGATCATGGAATCTGAATGTTGAAGATGCTCGTGTAGCGACCGGCCGTTGAATCTTAGGAATGATCGTAGGAAAAAACAGATTGAATCCCTGAAGTCCTATATAAATCTGTTGAAAGATTTAGTCAGTTTCTATGTAAAATCAATTCTATGGAATGGCGGAAATAAAGGGATGAGTAAATGAATTTATAAAGGATTTAAGGAAACAATAAATCTTGGGGCATTTTGGAGTATATTTTTCACTGCTCTTGGGGAATGTAAGTGATTCATTTTTCAAAAGAATACCGAGGCGTAGCTTAGGATGGAAGTTAGACAAGTATAAGCTTTTTGATTCTGCAGAACTCAATATTCCCCTTGAAAAGATTTCATGTTCTACAGAATTAATGCATCGCAGGTTTCTATTTGGCACAGCTGTCAGTGCGATGCCATGAATTAGATGTCGTCATTAAATTTTGTAAATTAAGCATCCCAAGTATTAATCAGAAATGAAAGCCACATCTTTCACCACTATAATGTCAGAATTGAACATCAGTTGAAATTTGAAGCTCTGTCGTTTCTCTTACTTTTCTGATCTGTTCCGAGTTTCAATCTTTCAGTCTCCCAACAACTTTCGGAAAGACGTGGGAATACTTTCCAAAAATTTTCGAACTCCAGAGATGTAGTTTTCATTTGTGTCACATTGATTAAATATTATTCAATGGGCAGAACGCACTGACTAAAAATACCAAATTAAGAAGTACGTCATAATGTAGGAATTCTAAGTTAATTATAATATGTTCTTTCTCAGTTAGTTGCTAAAAATCAGCGGGAACATTATTGATTATAGATTGTAACAGCATGCTACATTACTCATTCATAACTCTCAGTGAACTTAGGTAATATATTAAATTTTCAGGCTCAAGATGATTTATTTATTAGTGTTACATCTGCTTGGTAAACCTGCTTCAAATGCAACAGCATTCTGCAAGTACAGTTAAAGCTTTTATGCTGATCACTTCTAGTGAAAGTAATCAGTATTTTTTAGAACATAAATGAATACTGGTACTGACATCAACTTTCTGATGCGACTATCTTCATTGAAGACCAAAGTGATATAGAAATGTGGGTGGTTGTTTAAGCGATGTTTTACTGTACTTGTAATAATATATATTACTTGTTTAGTGATGACAATAATTACATACATAAGTTCTCAAAATATTAAATTTCACGAGCTTCGCAAGTATTTATTAGAGAAAAGTTATTTTCTGAGGTTTTCAAAAGTTATTTTCTGTTGCTTGGTCAATAATAATAATAAGATATAAGTTCGCTATTTTCTTACATTGCACTGGAGTTCCTGTGAATAGGACTGATAAGAGCAAAATCTGGAGTTCGCAGTTTTTATGCATAGCGCTTTATCATTCGAAAAGATTTATCGAACAGATTCTAAGTAACAAAAATGTTCATAAACTCAAAATACTCAGTTCCTCTCTTAAGTTTTTTCAGTAGATAAAACTAAGGGAATTTTTCAGTTTCAGAATACTGGGACCAGTGTTGCCTAATGTTCCTCATCGTAGTTACGAGACTCATATTAATCATAGTTTAGGTTAAATCAGTGCAATAGATCCATACCCGAATGAGGTTAATAAACAAAGGTTATAGAAAAATGAGTTAACGTCCTTTTAAAATAAAATTAGACAACGGACAATGTATACCGGATTTTGAGATTTAAATAAAAGAATAAGCATTGAATAAAGGTGAATTGAGAAGGATAATCTAAATTTAAATTTGAAATATATATATTCTTAGGTTAATGGTTTGTTATATAGTACTTTACTTGAAAAATGAGGTGAAATAGGAAGTATGCGATGATCATGGGAAGTAATGAGACATTAGTTCAAATAACGTTCTGTCCAGAAATTTCCGAGACGAATTTTTCTTCCTGGCATATAATCATAACAGGGATAAAACTTGGAATGCAATCCCCATTTTTATCTGACTGTGATGGATTGGCTATGTCCCATTTTTCAAAGCGGTCTGTCGAGAAGTATTTTTCTATTCTTACAACATTGGCAAATTTTAATCGTAATATTAGGATATAAAAAATTGCTACTGAACACTTAAATGAGATAGGAAAGTGGAATTCAAAAAGATGATACCTTTTGCCTTCAAAACAACGAGCATAGAAATTCAAGACGCGGATTATAGATATCAAATTTTATAGATATTGCTTTTGGTAAATAACTTAATGTAAAATGTTTTAAATCTTTTGTCTTTAGTAGCTATTTTCAGTTTCCTTGTATTTTTAAACCTAAGATACTTAAGCATTATTGGAGAAGTTCAGGAAACAAGAATCAGAGTAATATTCATAAGTTTGAAGGACTAGCTTTGAAGATTTAAATATAAAACCCCTTCTTCAGCTGCAGAAGTGCAAATCATGAAAGAGAAGCATGCATTCAAATGCTAACAAGAGGCAAGAAGGAAAGCTACTGGCGCCATCTATTGATAAAAAATGAAAACAATTAGGACAAAATATCATCAAAAGCTAAAGGGTAAAGAAGGACTGGAATTGGGATCGTTAACTAGGACTGAAACATTTTTATGACTATGAAACGTTCAGACTCTTAAACGTGATATAGATAGAAACCAAATCACGCTTAGCTATGATAAAGTAGTTATTAAAACTTACGTGGCTCACATCTTCTGTAATTATGGGGATACCATATAGACCTTAAAACGCATCCAAGCATTTTCAAACTTAAGTTCACTTTGCAGTTCTCTACACATTCCTGGAAAAAAATTATAAAAAGATAATGTGACATATTAAACATTAATGTGCTATATCCAAATTTAGATCTTTGTTTACCGTAGTTCATAAAAAAAACGGTCATCTGAAGAAACTAAAACATAAGACTAGAAAATTCCAAATAGAAGTGATTAAATTGAATATACTACAAATGCAGTATTATACATTAGTTCAAATAACTGTCTGTCCGAAAAGCTCAGAAATTTTTCTTCCTAGCATATAGTCATAACTGAAATAAAATTTAAAATGCAATTCCCAGTTTTATCTGTGTCATGGATCGGTCGTGCAAGAGGACTCAGAGAGTTCGCCCGCATCGATGGAAGAATAGAAATTTCATCTTGCTGTACAATACCCCGTTCGCTCACACGGCTGGAGTTATGGTGCAGTTTCAAGCAAAAAACATGCGCCACTTCTAACCATAATTCATATTCAGCAAATTGGGCCCCGAATGACACTTTTTTATTTCCGAAAATCAAATTTCACATGAAGTGTCAACACTATGATGACGTAAGAGACATTCAAGCCACGGTGGCACGCAAGTTGAGTAATTTCTGGGCGTCTAATTAATTTCTGTGCGTTGTACTCAAGTGGGAGGAGACTGTGTAGACCACCTGAAGCATTAAATTTTCATTCATACTATTTCGGAGCTTTTCGGGCTGTCGGTATACAGCAAATCTCTACCAGATTTTAATTCTTGGAAAGTTTATAACATTTTTGGGGAATATAGTTTATCATATACTCATATATATAATATACGTTTTTGGGGAATATCGCTTACGTGTTATCATGAAAACATTTTAGAATATCTGATTAAGAAGCACGGATTTAACTAATATAGTTAAATCATATCTTAATCATGAGATACTACATGCCAAAGGTCTCATAATCAACCAAACGAGAGAAAGCAATTCCCCCTCCCCCTGAAAATTGTGCATGTAAATATTACCAATTAAAGGACTGAGAGAAAATACAATCTATTTGGTACTGATAATTATTTTTAAAAAAATAAATGTTATTTGTTTTGTATGAAAAGGATGATATATTTTTTTAAATTGAAAATAAAAGTTGCGAAAGGACTGAAACATACAGTGCCATCGCAGATCAGTAATTATGCTATTATTAGTTATGGTTAAATAGTTAAAAATGGTTAAATAGTTAAAAACAAAGTGATGATAGAAAAGTTTTCATAAAGCTATTGTTTATGAGCTCACCTTCTGGTTTGCTGGTCCAGGCTTTCCATTCTGCTTTATCTTTTCCAAATAATTAAAACAATTCGTCTTATATGGCCATGGAAGTAAATTCTTTTCAACCTTAAGGATTCCAATATGAAGAAAAAAGTAGTAAATTCGAATTCAAAGAGCAAACATAAGAACATTTTAAAAGCCGCAGACATGATAAAGAAATGAAATCAAAATGCAGATTAAGAAGATTAAGAATAATACATTAAAAGAAAGCTATTTTTAATTAAAAGACACTATACTATTTAGAGCTGTAAAAAATAAATAAAAATAAAAATAAAAATAAATAAATAAATAAAAATATTGATGTTGACACCACATGATGGACAAGAAGACAGATTTTTCTGTGCACAAAACTCAAAGTTTAGTTTTGGTACCATTCGGCAAAAATACACTGAAGTTGGTGCAGAAAGTGACTTAATTCACTATGCTACTAAAGAATTCCAAATGTAAACAATTTACAGTGGCCTTTAAACAACTTTTAAATTGTTGATAATTCTACAACTGTTGCATGCAGATTAACTAAAGGCATAAAAATCTTAACCGGTACATAAGAATAGCATAATTCAATCACTTTTAAAGCAAAAAAATGCACAATTTACTAACATATAAGAATAAAATCTGAGCTCACCGAGCCGAGGAACACAGTAGGTATATATACATATTTTTTGTGCGATCGATTACAATAAAAAAGGGAGGTGTACAACTGCATGCTATAGCAGGCCGGTGTACGAAATTTGAACGTTTTGCGGCTACTCTTTTCAGTTATGCGAGACACATACGTACGTATGTACAGTCGTCACGAAAAAATCTCTTCTGAACTAATTTCAAAACCATTTTACAATGCGTTTTAGGAAAAAGAGTCCTTCATTATGTCCGTACGTATAGATATCCCCAAAAATATAGTTCAAATGAATTCAAGAGCAGTCAAAATGGATATTTCGATGAATTTTTCGCGATTGCAATACTTCCTTTACTTTGTACAAGGAAGTAAAAACAGATTTCTTAAAAAAAAAAAAAAAAAAAAAAACTGATTTCTTTTCATCATAATATATTAATGTTTATTTCGATAAGATTCAGTCATTTAAGGCTATAAAATTAAAAATTCAGATTTTCATTTTATTTCCCTTTTTCTTTTTATTTTGAAATTTGCGAGTTAAAGAAAGAGGAAGAAGTGAGATGTTTATCAAACTTCTTAAAAATTCGTTGAAGTTTTCTGAAAAAAGACTAAGGTTGTACTTTGCAGGTATTTATAAAGTTACTGTACTTTCTTACAACTACTACATAGTAATGTAATATACTATATAGTATACAGTTCTAGATGATTTACAAAACCATGTATTTTCAAAAGTAAATAGGAACTAATACTTTTCTTAAAATTCTTTTCTAAATATTTAATTTTTAAAATTTTATATAAGAAACCCATTAAAAAAAAAACTCCTAAGTTAATAGCCCACCAGCGGCCGAGCGGTAAAGTCGCTGAACACTGGTAGTTCGGTCCGAGGTTCGAATCCCGCGAACGGGCTGGCTGCATGGGCGTTTTCGTGGTTTTCTCCATGTGTAACGTGTATACGAGCCAGTTTCCCTTAGAAAGTCCTCCACGAAGGCATCCCTTCCTTTAGGCAGATAGCCCTAGTGTGCTTTGCCATAATTAAATACACCACCACCACCTAAGTTAATAATTGTTAATGAAATCTGTATTTTGTACAAGTGGTTTCAAACTCAAACTAAATGAGGCCTGAATGCATAACTTAAAAAATCTGATGTGTACACTACATCAGATTCCATGTACGGAATGCTAAATGATACGCAATTTTCCTGCATTTCGTTTAAAACTTATCTTCTCGAATTTCACTAGGGATATATTTCTCATTCAATTAATTCAGTTCTCACTTCTCGGCAAGGCAAAAGTACATAAAAACTCAGAATATTTTTATTAAAAGTTGGAAGATCTAGAAAAACATAAAACACCAAATACAGTTAAAACAATTGAAAAAATAATTTTTACAATTGAAATTAGAGTTGCTACGCAAAAACAAGCAATTCGGCCAGCAGGTAAGAAGACATGTTTTTTGGTGCATGAAACTAAGTTTCCTTTTGCTCCCACTCGGCAAAAAGACACTAAAGGTGCAGAAAAACTTAATTCACTATTCTGCTAAGTTTCAAATGTAAACCAACATGGCTGCTATGCCAAAAGAAAATTAGGCTTAGACGCACTTGAACAACTTTTAAAATTGATGATAATTATACAACTATTTCATGCAGATTGATTAAAGTCATAAAAACCTTAACTGGAAGATAAGAATAACATTATTCAATAATTTTTAAAGCAAAAAACGCCCAATTTACAATTTACCAAAATATATGAATAAAAAAAATGAGCTCACTGAGCTGAGTAGCAGAGTGGGTACATATATGTACATATATGTATATAATATATATATTTGTATACCTTTGGTGCTGCGATTGCAACCAAAATAAAAGGTACACAATTACATGCTATAGTAATTCTATATACAAAATTTCAACGTTCTGAGACTACTCATTTTTGAGTTATGCGAGATACATACATACGTAACGTACGGACGCCACGAAAAACTCTCTTCTGAATTAATTTTAAATCAGTTTTATAATTCGTTTCTGGAAAAAGAGTTTTTTTTTCTGTCCTTACGGTGCAGATTCACTCAAAAATATTGTTAATTTGCATTCGGTAGTGGTAAAAATGGACGTTTTCGTTGAAACATGATACTCGGAATTTTTTGTGATTACAATACTTCCTTTACTTCATACAAGGAAGTAAAAAAGCCCACAGGACATATTTTTTTGTTTAATTAGATTAAATTTTTTTCTAAATTAAAAATTTTACTTAATAAATATTTATCAAATCATACATAAAAAGTAGTAATAATGATGCAAATGAAAAAATTGAAATTTATATAGATTTTGTGCCTGAAATCTAAAGGTTGGTACCTGCAAGAAATTTTTGTTGCTTACACATTGTAATTGGATTGTGTTGAGAGCTAAATACTAAATTTTCAGAATGACATTTACTTCAAATAATTCTAATATGTTCGACTAAATAACAGATAATTTACTTAAGCTGAAAACAAATAAATTATGAAAATTTTCCAAGTAGGGCAAAACTTATAAATAAATAATGGCAATATCTTTTCTTTCTTTCATTTACTAAATTTTTCTTCGATGCATGCTAAAAAATGCGTATATTTCCATATTATTAAAATAGTATTGAAAAATAAATAGTATAAAATACTATTTCCATACTAAATAATTATAAACATCTTTAGTTCTTACTACAGTTTTCAATTACGTACCTGATAGTTTTTCGATTTTGATAAAGTTTGTAACCTTGGAGAAAAAATTGAAAAACTATTTTTGCTACGAAGTGTAGATGATCATTGGCCAATCTACCTTTCCCCTCATATTTACTAATTTTCAGTTAGTGCAAAAAACTATTCATATAGAAATGTCCTCCCAAACAAAGCGGAGTATTCTTATTGCAAAAACTTGTAACTCAAGATATTTGTCTTTAAACTTTTGTAAATAGTAAAGAAATAAATATTTTTATTAAAATAAGGAATACAAAGTTAATATCTTCTGATAAACGCAAACGAAATTTAATCAAATCTGTATCTTCTTATTTTGAATAAGACTTGTATAACAATGTAAATCAATTAGTTCCATTTAGAAATTTTTATACGACATTCCTCACTTTCGTTTTTAATGGTAATGAAAATAATATGCATATTATATTCCAGATCATTAAAAATCTCTAAATTTTTCTTAAAATTCTTGTCATAATAATATTAATTAGTTATGGGAAATGTATTCACGGACAGTGCAAAATTGCTTCGGAAAACGCTAGATTGAGAAATAAAGAAGACCTCCTTTTTATGCTATTTGAGATAGTCTAATGCGTAGTAATATCAGCTACAAAGTCATTAGGCTTGGGTTCGAATTTCTGAGGAGGCATAAGTATTGTAACTATATAGCGTTTTTGTAGTATGTTAATATTTAAAATCTATCAATTTATAAGGTCCTGCAGAGAAATTATGGGCAAGAGAAAAGAGATCTGAGACTCCAGATTTTCATTCTTCAAGATATTCTGGGACAAAGCTCTGTTGAGTTGGCCTACCTGTCTATTTGGAGTGCCAGAAAAATATTAAATAACGACAAAAAATTGGTAAGGGAAGATCATTCGTTTTCTTCCCAAATTCTTATTATTGATATCAGTCTTTGTCAACATCGATTAAATTGTGTGATCAAAGAAATTCTAACCAAAAAATTCTAGTTGAGCTATGCTTAGTCTGTCCACGAGGACAAATTGACATGCGTGATTCGGGTTCATATATTTTCTTGAAATGCAGTGAACTTTTCTCATGTTGTGAGATGAGTATTTTATTTATTTATTTCCATAAGTACATTGGAGAAATATGAGGCAGAAAACGATCAGTTTCAAGAATAAAAGAGAAAGTTGTGAAGAAATTACTACATATACATTCTGTTTGTTGTCTGTCTGTTGTTTATTAGAAAAGCATTTTCTTAGTTGGCACTCTTGTTCGGTAGATTTAAAAGCTTTAGCAGAATGTCAGAGTCAGTCTGTTAGTGATCAGACATGAATAAGAAACAAACTCTGAAATTTTAATGTTTGTATTCTTATTTTTTGCATTCTTTTTATGCCTGTATCTACAATTTAATTTTTTTTTCTTTTTCAATTATTCTTATATTTTTTTGGATTAATCGATCGATTTTTATTGAATCATTTATAAAACTGAACTTCAGGGTAATAAAATAATATACAGAAATATATATGAAATGTTTCACCTGCTTCACTCTGAAAGTGTAAAACTTCCCAATCTTCAACTCAAATCCTGCAATGAAAGGATTCGCATAGCTATATGGAGAATGAACTGAAGCTTGTATGGCAGCATATTCAGGACCGTAAATAATATCTTCTGCATACAAATAGATTTTAGGAAAGAAAAGAGCTGAAAAAAAGTTTTTAACGTGGGATTAAAGCAATAGAATAGCTTTTAAATTAAACGTTTATTCAACCTTTATTGTCGTTGGTCATTTTTAACAACTGAAGAAATTTGTTTTTCTTTTAATGCATCACTTATATTATATTTAAGTAGTAAATAAGAAGAAGTTTCATTACTTCAGAAGAAGCTGCATTGAAATACTATGGATATAAAGTTTAACTTATGGAATACAAATAAAAAAATTTTGAAGATAATATTACATTTTTTTTTGTAAAGTATTTGAAAATGTAGGAAATTTATAGAAAGAGACCGCTTTAACTATGTCTTTTATTAATTAAAGTAATTTCATACTTCAGTGGTTTTGAAACTTTTGCAGATTATAGTATTATTTATTATAGATTATAGTATAAGTTGCGACTTAAATGCATTTTCCGACTATTAGCATAACTAAATGATAATTTAAAATCTAATGTATTACAGGACATGAAATAATTTTAGATATTTATCATAATCGAGTATAGGTGAAAACTTAACACCTATTGAGCGCTCTCCCTTGCATTGCACAATTTTTTCTGTAATTTCTTCTAAAATAAAGACAAAAAACTAAACTGAATGCAGAATTTTCTCATAAAGAATTTGAATTATAATTCAAAGTAGACAGGCTACGAATCATTAACGTTTTTTTGTGAATAGATGCATCTGTGTGACATAATATAGTTTTATTGTACCTCTTTATGTAGTCGAGATATTGCTTTATATAGAGCCTAGGGCAGTTCTTATTTATCAAGTTCTCTGTAGATAATGACGTATTTTTATACAGATACATTACTGAAAAAGGTATGGCCAACTGTCTGATGAAACTTTCTATCAGAAATAAATTTTTGATTTCTCTTAAAACTTAAAAGAAATACAGAAGTTCCTCACATTTCGAATTTTCACTTTAACCGGTTCTCGTAGATACCAACAAACATATACTCAAATAGTGAAATTTTTTTGAAGTAGAATAGAAAATAACGCTTAACGAGCTTCTGGAAAGTCTAAAATATTTATAACAGTTGTCAAAGTTGTTGAAGGTCAAAGACTGTGTTGGTGAAAAGTTCAAACATCTATGAGACCATTCCCCCCCCCCCTCCGTATCGATGTAAATTAAATCAGTGATGCGCCCAAGTCCATTAAATAATGGATTATTTAATTTGAGTAAAAACATCTACGAAAATCTGAGCTTAGTTCCTGCACACCTGATGACTTGGCGAAGAGAATTTGTTCTACGATTTAGCGGTGCAATAGTCAACCTGGTTTAGATTACGTTTATGGAAGCTTTCCTTCTTTATGTGCACGTTCATAGAGTCCACTGTACACATTGTACAGAAAAGTAACTCTATTTATTTGTATTTTTTTTATTTATAATATACTGTATATAAAATTTAAAACGCATTGTGTATTTCCTTTACTATTTTAAACTGTTTATGTAATATTATTTATATCTGTTATCCCACGAAGATCAGGACAGGAAAGCAAGAGATTAATTTAGTTACATTTTGCAAACAAATTCATAGTATGAACGATCATTCTGAACTAACACGTTCGTAAAGTAAGGAGCGTTTCTATATATACATTGCTAGATACAAAAGATTTCCGTCTTAAAACTAAAGTGAACTTAACTCGGTGGCACAAACAGCCCTCAGAGAACCATGGCCGGCAGTGCCCTGATATCTGCTTTCTAGACCGTGGGCCCCGTGGTGCTTGTGCATATTGCCTGGACAAGGTATCAGCTTGTCGCAGGACCCCAAGCGAACTGGGTACTCATTTCATCGATCCTCTCAAGGGATGAAAGGCTGAGTCAACCTTGCCCAGCCCGGGAATAGAACCCCGGACCTGTGGTGATGCTGCGCGATGCACTAACCACTGCGCCATCGGGTCGTCTTATATATAAAAAATTGTTCGCCAATAAATTTTGCTTTATATTGTTTTATATTACAAAGAGATTTAGTCTGTCTCATTAAAGTCGCATTGAAACATGTATGTACTATGGCCAATGAAAATTATTATGAACTATATGTATGTATTATGTAACAGGCTCAATATATTATGTACTATGTAAGCATGTATATGTATGAACTACGTATGTAAGCATGTATATGTATGAACTATGTAAGCAAGTATTATGAAAGATCTATGTATTATGAACTACTTGTATATAAGCATGTACTATGAACTATGTAACTATGTAAGCATATATTATGAACTATGTAAGCATGTATACAGGACCAATGTATGCCCTTATAGGCCCCATGAGGTGTTGCCCCGGATAGTTGCGGAACCTGGACTAGACCCGAATAGTCTTAGTAAGCCGCACGGGTGTCCAGATTCTGCTCTCAACTCAACTCAACTCATTAAAGTCGCATTAAAAAAATAGCTATGAAAAACTTGGTAGAAAATGGCATCTATTGAGGATTGTAGAAGCACTGGCCAAAGGTAAAAAATTCACGTCTTTTTAGGAAACTATCCTACCCCAGAACAAATGTTCCATAGTTTAACAATATTAATTAAAGCTCTGTTGTTATTTTGCTAATTTATCTGCACCAACTTAAAAAGTATTCCCAATAGCAATACCACTTTACCGTTTGGCCCTGAGAAATTCTTTGCTTTGCCATTGTTATTGAGACAATTATAAATGGCGAGTCAACTATACGTCATTTATAATTGTTCAATGACAATCGCAAAGCATAGAACGAGGAATCAGTTATTTACAACTACTTTGATGCTATCTCCTTTTCGTAAAGGAAAAATTAAAACGCTCGTCAGATAGGAATTTTGTAATTTCTTAAGAGTTAATTAATTTATAAAAATTCTACTAAATCAATAAATATTTCCAGCGTTTTTCGTGTGTAAAACTACATGTAGTTATTATATTAAATAACTAAATGATCTACAATGTAAATAGAAAAATTAAATAAGTGAAAATGTAAGCTTCGTAAACACTTCACTCTGGTGAGTAAATATTTTGCTTCCGTTTATCTTCTCATTTTAGTATTTTGCGATGATTTCATCAATGAAAATAAGGTGGTAGCATAGTAAACTATCATAAGAAAAGTGACTATGAAAGTGACTACTCAAAGGTACATAAAAATCTAATGCTTGTTTTTAATTCCAGTACCTTTTCCTTGCCAACGTTAGCACAAAATTGTGGTCAACCCTGCATGATAGCACAACGAATACGTATGACGGGTTAGATGAATGAAGTAATACATTGCAATGACTATCAGAAATGAAATTGAGTAGCCAGATAGGACGAATATAACTCATTAGTCATATTAATCAATTCATAGTCTTGTGAAACTCACATGTTTGCTTCTTTTTTTACCTCCAAACATAAACGTCTTGCCTCTGAAACTGGCCTTAGAAATCATTCTTTACCCTTTTACGAGCTGCCAAGACCCATTTAAAAGATTGTCTACTTGTCACACTCAAGGATGTTAAATAGCGTCATTGTAGGAAATACCCTCATATGCGGTCAGGTCGTAAATTTAGAACCCCTTTTTTCACGGGGGGGGGGCTGAAAAGTAGGGGATAATCTTGCTCCTGCTCTTGACAAAATGTGGGGGTCGTTTAAACATCTAATTTCTCTACATTCAGTTTTATACAGAGGAAAATACGAATTGAATTCTTCGAATGAGTGCCATTTTGTACAATCAAAATGTATTACTTAACGATAAACTGTAAGATAAATAACATTTTTTTAAAGCCATAGGTGTAGAAAAACAGATATTTGTTACACGAATGAATTTGTAGTAAATATTGAGTTTTACATTTCAAATGCTATGTTCCATGTATGCGAAGTAGCTGAGTATGTGAGATAATAGTCATAACCGAATGGCTTTCAACCTTTTCACGGCTAAAGACTGTTTCTCAATTACATTGTGGTCTGCTTTTTGGTTAATTTTCTAATGACATATAAACAATAACTGTTTTTATTTGAGACTTATGAATAAAATAACGCAAACTAGACTGCAGAAAATTCTTAAGAATGAAGTTAAATAATACTGAAAAATACATTATTGATGCACTTTTGTGTATTACATGTAGTAGTATTAACTACTACTATAATCCTTAAATGGAATCATTAAATTATATATATCTATGTATAGGTATATATAAATGGAACCAAATATAGAACAAGGTATAAAATATCTTTATTATACAATGTTCATTACTATACGTATATTTGCGTAATATCAATATAAATAGTTAGTTAGGTTTCGTACATATATAATTTATTTTTATATTTTGTATTTTTTGTATTAGATTCAGTATTGTATACGTATCTGAAGTTTAATTTTACCTGTTCTCTTTTTGGGTTACGACTTTAAGTGAGAAAGAATTGTTAGGGCCTAGAAAGAATTGTTAGGGATTACATTATATACAATCAGATAGGATCCGACTTTTCCTTTCTTTTAATCATTATATATATTGAAATACTACTTGATAAGTATACATAAAATATAGCAGTTTTTTAAGCTACTTATTTATATATCTATTGTTTGGTCTGGTTTGTTTGATTATAGCAAAGAATTAAACGGTTATTTGCCTAAGGGTAAGGGTGCCTCGTGGAGAACTTTCTAAGCAAAAACTGACTCTTATGCACGTTACACACGTGGGGAAAAACCTCAAAAACGCCAATACAGCCACCCCCGTTCGATCCGGGATTCGAACCCCGGATTCGACCTGCCAGAGTTCAACGACTTGACAGCTCAGCCGCTAGTGAGCCCCCCCCCCACATCCACACATATACATTAAATAGTATTTACATGTCGTTTATAAAGTATAATTGAGTGCAATTTAATCATAAAGAGTTAGAAAATATTCTACGGAATTACTTCACTTCGTAGACTTTTTGTTAAGCTTCACCATATTTCTTAAAGAGAATCTCAATGCTAGTTCCATTTCCAAACTGTTTATGTACCTTATTTTTCATGCTTTGAATTATATTTAGAAAATTATTTCACTTGGTTATAGCTCAAAATGCAGTTTTTTTTTATTGAAAAATTTAAGGGTAAGAAGAGAATTATGCCCTTTTCTAATTATTCTTGAAGCATTTAAATTTTTTTTTTAAAAAAAGCGCACAATAATACGGATCACTGAACTAAAGTTTGCGATACAGGACAGATTAATTAGCTACTAAATTTTGATTTTCGTTGAGTAAAAATGAATTCATCTGCATTCTATAAGAAAGTAAATATTCAAAAAATGTTTTTTTTCCTATTCTCGCAGTCATAATATTTTTCTTAAATATTCATCTAATTCATATTCAAATACTCCAATCCATTACAATAAGTAATAAATCGATACAGTAAATAAATTACCCTATTGCATACATTAGAAATACTTATTCTCGTAATAACAGATACGTATGTGTTATTCTCTTCGTAATTTTCAGTATATATATTTATATTTATAATTAAGAAATCTTTTGAAAGCAGCGTCAAACAGCTGTCAAAATTATATTTTAAAATTATTATTTAGAAATGCGCTTATAATGGTTTTTATATTTAGGAAAGATACTTCCCGTTTACTCAGGCTCACTGTATTCAAGTCGATAGGACCAATTGAATGGAAAGATCGATTTGTTAATTCATTTCCAAGTTTCAAATCGGATGAATGGACTCGCGAATAAAATAGCACATTAAAATACCGTCACTGAAATACAGTGAGCAATGAAAATTTTAACAAAGGTTTCGTACTTTATATTATGAAAACAAAATATCAGAATCTAATTAAATGTTTCACTTATTATAAAAATATAAAATATAAATATTTGTGAATAAAAAGAAATTATCTTTAAAAAAATAAAATTTAAATGAAAAAAATGAAAGAATTACAAAATATTGCAGAAATTACATAAAATAACGAATAAACTTATTCGGCACAAGCTCCATAAATGTAAAACAGATTGTACAGTCAGAAAGCTCGCCTTGTCACAGAAATATGCTGTTCATCGGGTTTAAAGGTTATTCAGACTAACGTGCGAAGTTCAGTGAGTAACTTGTATTTTCCTTTGAATGTATAAACTAGCCAAAAAAATTGAGCACTTGACAATTAGATGCAAATTTAACAGATGGGAGCACTTGACAATTAGATGCAAATTTAACAGATCGATTGAAGGAACCCTACTGCAACGTACCACTTTGTGTAAGCATTTTCGTGGATTTCCTTAAGGTATGTAAATATGAGCCCATTTTCCTTAGAAAATTCTCCATGAAATCATGCCTAGCTAACCCTCATATGTTTTGCCATATTCAACACAAAATCATTATTTAGATGATTAATTAATTAATTTTATGTTAGATGATACGAAGCTTTTTAAAAACTAAGATGCTTTCCGTAAACAATTAGTATTAATAAGCGCTGTTCAACTGGAATTGGGTTGGATTATTTGTTTATAGCAGTGCTTTTCAGCCGACTTACATGTACCTGTATGTATTGCTCAGAGGGGGTGGAAGGAAATTCCTGAACGAAAACAATGTAATAATGAAATGTTAATAAACAAATAAATATAACTTTTCGTATCTTATGTAATTTGCCTCCATTCTGATACCATGTGCATCATTTATTTCTGATATACTGATACTGAATGAGACCTAAAAACACTTTCTTTTTAAATATATCTCCCCTTATGATCCCTGACACAGCCGTTTACTTTCCCCTTCCGTAATTAACGTCAGTCTCCTGCTCTTGACCGCATTTGCCAAGCCACCCATTGGAGAGCCAGCTGAAAGAACGGAAAATGCATTCTTATTTCCCAACTGTTTAAATGAACTTAGAGAGTACCCAATTATTCCATAACTCTTCTCTTTTCATTTTCGCCGCATTCTGGGGATTGGGAAAGAAGAAACGACGTGTGACGATTGGGAGTGAAGATACAGGCCGCGTGTAAACCGAACAAGCGTGTTTCGCTGCTGACGCCTGACGATGCTTTTCAAATTGGCGAGTCTTTTTCGAGGCAAACGATAAAGTGGTTTAAGTGATAAAAAAAATGAAACTGTCTTCTTAAAATATATATAACCTCAAAATTTGCACATCTTGTATTCAATCAATTGCTATTATTAAATAACTAAAGTTGAAAATTGAATATTTGTAAATATATTACTGTATGTCGTAGGAATAAATTCGTGGCTTCTCTTAGTCTGGTTTCTCATCAGGTTCACAGTATAACAAACTGGTGGAATTCTTAGGAGACTACGGACAGAGGCACCGAGTTCTAACCTAAAAATTAAATAAAGATTCCTTTTTTACAGATGAGCACAAGAATTAGAAAAAAATTCGGTTTAATGTATGGTAACGTGATTGCAAAGAAATGGCCCTTTCAAGTCGGTTACTTTAAAAAAAACGATTCGATGTTAATTTTTTGGTAGAATATACAATATGGTACAGCTCTTAAATAACATTTTAAATTTCCTAATATGACGTTTGATGTACCTTTTCAGATTTTATTTCATTTTTGACAATTTAAAAATATAATGATCGACGTACTTTTGGAATTGCTTCTAGCTCAGTACGTGAAAAAGCTAGCTCAGTAAAAAAAAAAAAAAAAAAAAAAAAAAAAAAGAAAAGAAACATTAACCCTTTTAGCTGTGTATTATAACAATTGCCACATTTCTAGCATGTTTATGCACAAAGTTTATACGAGCTGTTAACACATAAAAGTATACTAACTCGGTATTTGAAAATATCAGAATGTTGAATTTAATTACTCTTATGGAATCTCAAGTTTAAAAATTTTTATTTTGGAAAACAAGAAAGATATTACTTTTGCATATTTAAATTTGGGAAGTTTAAGATTTCAATTAAACAATTAGTAGGATGTTATAAGCCTAAAAGGGCGTTAGCCTACTGTCGAAATGGGATTTTGCGTCGTCTACTATAAAGGGCGAATCACTTTTCAAACTGTTGCCATCAAATACTATCGCCCTGTATTATCTTTAAAGAAATTAAATAATGAAGAATCTGCATGTATGTATGTATGTATGTTCCTCCCATTGTGAAAAACAACGGAACCTAGAGCCATTATAGTTTGAATAACATTGTCCTCTACCCTAACATCTGCACCTGAAAGCTCGAATTTTGAAATTCGAATTTTGTATTTCACATTTTGTAAAACTTTAAGGAATTTTTGATGAAAAAACTCAGAGATTTTACAGCTAGAAGTGGCAACACTGTACGGAATAAAATATTTTTATCTATAGCGCGCGAGATTATCTGCCGGAAATTCTAAAGATATGCTGTTTTTAAATATTTTGTGGCATTGCTGTTGGACTGAAGTTTTTGAATATTTTGCGGCATTACTGTTGGACACAAGTGCGAAAAACGTAACATCTAATGAATAAATCTAACACGCAAAGCGTTAATAATAAAAAGAAGAAAAAAAAAAGTTTTGTTAGCCACCTTATTAAAAAAGGGACGATTGATACGATGAACTGAGAAAATACTGAAAAAAATAGAAAACGCGTACCAACACTTAACAACATTGCATCGGGAACTCTAAACATATGCTGCTATGTTGTTTTTAAAATTTTTGTAATTTTGCTGTTGACTCATATACGGTGTACATGCGAAGAAAATGGTATTTAATAATAAAGCTAGCAGAAGTGAATGCAATATAGCAAGCTGGTAGATAGCGAGTTCAGCAAGAGCATAAAACAACCTTAATAAATCTTTTTTGGGCGATTTTTAAAATAGGAACTCATTCAGACTTTTTTTGATTTATTATCTTTTTTATGACGTAATTTTGTAATTTGCATTCTGAGAACTGTTTTGATTAGTTTTAAGATATTATGAGATGAATGCGTTTTAAGTTGCTTTAGTTATTATTTTAATGCGTTTTAAGTTGCTTTAGTTTTGAGTTGCTTTAGTTATTATTTTCAGGATTAGCACGGACATCAACATTTTGGTTTTTATGATTGAGAAATGCGAATAAAAAATGCCTATGAAAAAAGAAGGGAGGAGACAAAAAATGCGTGTGGCGTGGACGCACTTTGCTAATTGATATTTACATTTACAAGTAATATTTTCGAAAATGAGAATGATCCAAAAAAGTATGAGGGAGATAACGGAGCAATCAAAAATTTATTTCTCTCCGTGTGGTCGACGAGTTAATATCAATATTAACACACAAAAAGATTATTCGAGACATTATTTGGGACTGAAAACTAGGGTTGAACGTTGGACAGAACACAGAAACGTTAGCTGATCATTTTAATTTAAAGCATTGTTTGATTCTTTAGAGTGCCGAGGGCATATTTCACAAGTGCACATCAGCGTAGCCACTGAGGGAGGGGTTTCGAAAATGGACCAATGAGCTGCTATTGCTCTTGTGACGCTAAATCTTCCTGCATGTGAGCGTACGTTGTTTAAGCTTTAATTTGCATTTGTTTCGCAGTTATATAAATATGTGGCGTAATAGTAGAAATCTTGTAGTGCTTTCGTTTTCTGAATTTAATTAATCGCTGTGATTTCACTTTCGCGATTTTTTATTCCGCATTAATATTTGGATTGATGTTCACGGCATATTATGTGGAGTAAGAGAATTCAAGAGTATATTTTTTTAATCGAGCTGAGAATGACTGAAAGTATTACAATTTAGCTAGTATTTTCTTATTTCAGTGCTTACATTCTTTTGATTTTTAAAGTGTAAGATTCAGAATACATATAATCTGATTATATCCATGGTTAATATTAAAAGTTATATGCGAATAAATTGCATATACTCGTTGTGAATAGAAAATTCATTCTGTTTGATGATATTTCTTGCGTAGACAGTACATTTAAGAGTGAGCAGTTATTAAATGTGAAATTTAACACACTAAATGTATATGAATGCAAATTGTAAAGTTCGCTTTGAATAAAATTCTGCATTGGTTATTATTATAGAACATCTTTTTCATATAGACTGCAATAAAAAGTGCTGACTTCTATTTACTATATATAATTGGTGTAAATATTTTTCTCATACGCATAGTTTTATGTAAAGATTGCATTTGGGCTCAGATGTTTATCACTATTTCTTTCTTCGTCTTATTTACCACTTATTAAGTAATATTTCACATCGATATTTTTGCAAAGTCTCCGACAAGGTTTGTATTTATTTCAACCAGGTAGTGAAATCTCATAATTGCCTATATTTGATCTAACTTCCCAATGAAAAGTTTCAGAAGCACTCGACGATGCTTTAATTTTGTACAGAAAAACTGCGTAGCAGAATATTTTCAACCATTTTGCTTAAATCTTAAAGCACGCGAAAGGTCATGTGACATGACAGAAATATTACTGGATGCTCATTGGTCCATCCTAGAAGCCACTCCCTCGGTGGCTACACAGATGTGCACTTGTGAAATATGCGTACCGAGGATTTACTAGTATCGTATAAAATGCTCTGCATAAATCAAGAAAGGGAAGGGGATTAGAATGATGCAATAGGTAATACCAGTTAATCTTCGCATAAAAGAACATATTTTCTGGGAGCCAGAGGCAATAATTGACGAAACTTGGACTTCGTTGGCGATATCCTATTATATCTAATATCTCAGTAAGGTGCCATTTTCTATTAACTATCTCCAAAGAAACATTTGTCCAAGAGTCGCTATTCATTCTCAGCTGAAAATTAGCTATAAATTCAAATACAAATTTTGACTTATTAAACACGTAATTTCAATTAATATCATGGAAAAATATATATTCTGATTTCTTACAAAGTACTGCGTATATGGCGAGATTATTTATGAATCTTGGGCTGAATATAAAAAGTGGATGAATATTTAATCCGTTGAATAAAAAAAAAAAAGTAAATGAATTTAAATTCCAGTAAAAATTTTAAAAATCGATAAAAATGTCTGATGCTTTCAGATTTTACATTACGCTCAAAGAGGCGTTCTTTTTTTAAACTTTTTGTGTGATACCTTTATTTATTAAACACCATATTCTTCGCACTTAAACCATAAAATTAAATTCAATAGCAATATCGCAAAATAATTTTAAAAGGAGCATATCTTTAGAATTTCCGATACATAGTCACGCACGCTGCAGATAATTTTTTTTTCTTTTTTTCCGTACGCTGTTGCCATTGCTCGGTTTTGAAATCGTTGAGTTTGTTAATCAAAAATTCGTTAAAGTGTTACAAAAATATGAAATTGATAATAAAACCAATTCCAAATTTGGGCTTGCAGATGCCCATATTCGGTGGAGGATTACGTTATTCAAAATTTAATGTCTCTAGGTACCGTTGTTTTATCACAATGCGAGAAACATACATACATTTATGCAGATTCTTCATTATTTAATTACAGGACGATAATATTTGGTGGCAACAATTGGAAAAGTGAAACGGGTATTTAAAGTGTTAAACACAAAATGCCAAAACAAAATTAATAGCTGTTCTGGGCTAAAAATTATAAAAAAAAATTATTGAATAAATAAATGAATATTTACATACTTAAACACATCTACAGTTCTTCGGTCAGTATCAAGTAGCTGGGCAACTTGTTTCGAAGCATCACTCAAGAAATTATTACGGTATGGTTTGAGGTCTTCTTCCGAGTAATTGAAAATTTCGGAGATGTTTGAATATGAAACCTATGAGATATAAATAAGTTTTCTTCATGCTGTATTTAAGTATATTTCAAAAGAAATGAGATTGATAGCTAATTATAATTAAATTAAAGGCGGACAGAATTCATGAAATAGATTCATATAAATTTCCAGTTAGTCGTGAGCTCTTAAGTTCGATTAAAGAAATGTATCTTTTTATTTGTAAGAGGTAAGTAAAGGGTGCATATTAAATAAATACACTAATACCCGCTTAGAGCTTGCAATTCGTTTTTGGGGGACAGGCAAGGTTAAACGAAACTGCTGAGATGAAACCTTTTAATAAGTAGTGTCCATAATTCTTGGGGCTTAAATTATCTTGTTAAGTTGGGGTTTATCCCAGTTTACTTTAAAGTAAACGATTATCTTAGTTAATAGGAAAAATAATTTTCATATTAACTAAAAATAATTATTTTTCATATTAACTGAGATAATCGTATACATTCCTGCATACTTTTTTGTGACAAAAGGTACCGATTTTTCTGAAATTACATGTTTTTAACATTGCAGTCTTCTGAGAAAAACGGAAGAAAAGGACACGTAAAATATTTTACGAAGTCATCAGTCAAACTGAAGTAATTCTCCATATCAGGATATTACATCTATAACGCATCTCTGACTTTTCAGCTTCTATCAGAAATCTTTGTCATTTTCTGTGTAAAATTCATTTCTGTTAATTAACCAGTTATTTTATGATTTTGATTTAGATCTTTGCTGTCACTTCAGTCTTCCGTTTCTTCGCCAGAATGCAAGTTAGTTCGCGTATATTTAAGATCAAGGTTTTAGATTTTAAGACAGAGCGTGTTCTGCCTCTTGAGGCCAGGTTACTAGGTTGCCAATTCAAATAAGATTGCTAATCTTCGGTCTTATAATTTCTGATAGCTGAATATATCCACGCCGGTTAAGTTTTGAGCCAACTTCGCGTTAACTGATGTGTGTAGTCTTTGGTTACTATATTATTTAAATTAAATTTTACATTTGAATTTACTGTTACTTTAATTTATCTCCTACAAGTGGATGACTGAGTTGTGAGCACCAGGTGTGCCTTCTGTTCTTATTTAGTTTTAAATAAAGAGTCTTTTACTCCCTCCTCAAATTTCAGTTGTTATTTTAGACTTAGCGATGATTCTCTTAACCTCTACCAAGAGTTTGGACACGATTTGAATGACTTCAAAACATACCAAATGTCATAAGCGTAAGTTGGTCCCATTATTTCCTTTATTGTTGCTGGAAAGTTTCTTGTGTTCCTCCTTTTCACAGGTTCTTGAATCACTGTTATTACGTTTCACGCGAATTTCCTCTTCCAGGGTTAAAAAATTTCCATTAGTACATTAGTACCACTTTTTCCAGAGGATCTGAGTATTATGAGTATTATTTTTAGTCTATTATCTATAAAGGCTAATTCAGAGTCTCTTTGCTAAAAAAAATTTTGCATTATCACCCGTAATGTCTTCTGGCTACACTTATCTTTTGTAATTTTCAGTCACTACACCCTAAAAGAGTGTGATATTCTGTACTGAGTATATGGCGTTATAATTTTTCCAAAACATCAAATAGATTTTTTTAAAATTTATTTTTGCAATGCGCTCGATTTTTGTGAAATTCGATTGTAGTCATGTTTTAACAAATCGTCGTAAATTTAATTCATTTCGAGAGCTTGAAAATCAAATATTGCTGTGGAAGATATAGCAGGATTGTTTTCTTCCAAGAACAGAACTAATTTTTTTTTTT